CTGTCGCCCAGGCTGGAGTGCAGTGGTGTGATCTTGGCTCACTGCAACCTCCGCCTCCCCGGTTCAAGCAATTCTCCTGCTCAGCCTCCAGAGTAGCTAGGACTACAGGCACCCGGCACCACACCCGGCTAATTTATACTTTTTTAGTAGAGACAGGGTTTCACCATATTGGCCAGGTTGGATCTCTACTTATAACAAACCGAAAGGCCAATGCTGTAGAAATAGGACAAGTGATGAAAGATATAATAAAAGCGAAATCTAAAAATGAATACATAAATAGAACTTACATTTTTCTTATTTTGTTTTTAGGGGTAGTATCAGCCATCAAAGTAAAGAGGAAAGCATAAATCCAGGAGGGCAGTGATCTATTTCCTTGAACACAGAATCTAGGACCTAGAAGTTTCTCAGCCCTACAGTAGGCACCCAACAAATATTTATTGGGTGAATGAACAAATGAATATTTAAGGACAGTGGGAGTTAATTTCTTTGGTATTTACATCTTAGTACCAAGGATTCCAGCGAGCTATAGAGAACTATTCTTAATGATTTCAACATCAGCTAGGCCAAGTTGGCTGTAAACATTATCTGATTTCCTGAAGACAATGAACAGCTTTCTAGCCTTTAACTTATTCAAACATTAAGAGTTACAGACAATCCTTGCATTCCTACGCAGAACTTCCTTTTCTCTGAAAAGAGGGTAGAGCCTAAACTTAACCACAAGAGGAGAAACTGCTACATGTTGGCAGTTTTGACAGAATAACTTAAAAACATTTTTATTCTTCTTCCTTCTAAATGTTCATACAACATGATTTCTTAACACCAGACAAATTTCATGCTAGATTTTAAAGGATAAGAAACTAAAGCAAAGATAAAAGGTAGGCCAGATGCAGCGGCTCACACCTGTAATACCAGTACTTTGGGAGGCTGAGGCAAGAGGATTGCTTGAGCTCAGGAGTTAGAAATTGTCCTGGCAGCTGGGAATGGTGGCTTACCCAGGTGCAGTGGTAATCCCAGCATTTTGGGAGGCTGAGGTGGGCAGGATCACCTGAGGTCAGGAGTTCGAGGCCAGCCTGGCCAACATGGTGAAACCCTGTCTCTAGTAAAAATACAAAAAGTAGATGGGCATGGTGGCAGGCGCCTGTAATCCTGGCTATTCAGGAGGCGGAGGCAGGAGAATCTCTTGAATCCAGGAGGCGGAGGTTGCAGTGAGCCTAAGGTTGCAGTGAGCTGAAGGTTGCAGTGAGCCAAGATTGTGCCACCTCACTCCAGCCTGGGCAAAAGAGCAAGACTCTGTCTCAAAAAAAAAAAAAAGAAAAGAAAAAGAAACCGGTCTGGGAAACACAGGAAGACATCAGCTCTACTAAAAAAATTAAATAAAATTAGGCAGGCATGGTGGTGTGTACTTACAGCCCCTGCTACTTGGGGGTCTGAGACAGGAGGATGGCTTGAGCCCAGGAAGTCAAGGCTGCAGTGAGTTTTGATCATGCCACTGCACTCCAGCTCGGGTGACAGAGCAAGACTCTGGCTCAAAAAAAAAAAAAAAAAAAAAAAGAGGCTGGGTGTGGTGGCTCAAGCCTGTAATCCCAACACTTGGGGAGGCCAAAGCGGGTGTTCAGGAGCCTGGGCAACATGCTGAAACCCCATCTCTACTAAAAATACAAAAAATTAGCTGGGTGTGATGGCACGTGCCTATAGTCCCAGCTACTTGGGACACTGAGATGGGAGGATCACTTGAGCCTGGGAGGCAGAGCTTGTAGTGAGACAAGATTGTGCCACTGCACTCCAGCCTGGGTGACAGCGAGGTCCTGTCTCAAAAAAAAAAAAAAAAAAAAGATAAAAAGTATGCCAAGAGTTTCTGAAAAGGTTAAACAAAAGGTTACCTTTGATCCACCAATTCCTAGCTATATTCTAAAAGAACTGAAAACATGTTCACACAAAAAGTTGTTCACAAATTCTTTAAAGCATAATAGTCAAAAGTGGAATTAATCCAATAATCCAAATGTCCATTAATTGATGAATGGATAAATAAAATGTGGTATATCCACATAACAATTATTCAGCCATAAAAATGTTTGAAGTACTGTTACGTGCTACCACATCAATGAACCTTGAAACATTATTCTAAGTCAAAGAAGTCAGTCACAAGGGGCTACATATCATATGAATTCATTTATATGAAATGACCAGAATAGGCAAATCCATGGAGACAGAAAGTTTTGTGGTTGCCAGGGGGTATGGGAGTGATAGCTAAGGAGTTCTTTTGGGGGTGATGAATATATACTTGAATTAGACAGTGGTGATGGTTGGACAACTCTATGAATATACTAAAAACCTTTGAATTGTAAACGTTAAGGCATGACTTTTATGGCAAGTGAATTATATCTCAATAAAAAAGTCACATGCCAGGCAGCACAGTGGCTCATACCTGTAATTCCATCTCTGGAAGGCAGAGGTGGGAGGATCTTTTGAGCCCTGGAGTTGGAGACCAGCCTGGGAAATGCAACAAAACCCTGTCTGCACCCCCACCAAAAAAAAAGGAAAAAAAAAGAAAAACAAAAACAAAAATCATATGCCAAAAAGATACAAAATCAGCAAGTAAAAAATAAAGACAACAGGTGGCATCCCTTCCTCTCTGCTCTTCTCATGCTTCTCCCATGCAAAATCCTTGACTAAAGTGCCATATATTTTACATAGTTACTCTGAAAATGACTGGAACCCTAAAAATATCCTAACCACCAAACAAAAGCAGCTGCTTATTTTGATAATATTTTTGTACCATAGACCTTCCTTAAAATGCAAGTTCACAGAGGACTTATGCCACAAACCCAAACATGCACAATCCCCTAGAGTTAGCTTCGAGAGATGTTGTTGTAACTGCCACTGGCACAAAACACATTCCCAAAAGAGACTCACACTCACAAAAGAGAACTACATTATTACTCAGTCTAGTCAGAAGGCAATGTCATCAGGAACCTAATTGTAATGGATGTCCATTTAATGTTTTCTGTCTCAAGCTCAAGACAATGGGCCTCAAAAACAAAACAAAACAAAGCTTATAATAAACTAAACTACAGAGAAGCATGTCCTGTATTTAAATTGTTGGATATAAAATTGAAAAAGGTATAGGTTTGAAAATTGAATACTAAACCATCTAAGGTGTAATCACATGATTTTTTTTTTAATGCATCCAATATCACGAGAAATTAATTACTCCCAGGTGCTAAACTCACTCATTTAGTGTCAACTCTACTGATTCTTAATTGTTAATACACAAACAATAATCATGCTCATATATAATACACCTTAACTGACTGAAATGTTAGATGGCATTTTAATATCTTTCTTTTTATACAATGTCTTATATCTAGAGTCCCTATTTCAAAATAGCAGAAGGAATAATGCAGACATTTTCACAGAGAAATAAAGAGGAGTGCATTGGAAGGCCTTGAAAAGTATTCACCAAATCAGCATAATCATATCTAGATTCTGCTTCCGGTTTCACTACTAAAATACAAATGATGTCTGGCCTACACTGGCTTTACAAATATTTTTAAATACATAAAACCCGACCGGGCGCAGTGGCTCACGCTTGTAATCCCAGCACTTTGGGAGGCTGAGGCAGGTGGATCACGAGGTCAGGAGTTCAAGATCATCCTGGTCAACTTGCTGAAACCTCGTCTCTACTAAAAATACAAAAATTAGCCAGGTGTGGTGGCGCAGACCTGTAATCCCAGCTACTCGGGAGGCTGAGGCAGGAGAATCGCTTGAACCCGGGAGGTGGAGGTTGCAGTGAGCCGAGATAGTGCCACTGCACTCCACCCTGAGCGACAGAGTGAGACTGTCTCAAAAAAATATATATATATACATATTTATATATGTTTGCATATGTTTTATATATATATATATAACCTAAAACATGTTGAGTCCTTAATGATGAGAATATCCAAAGACACTGTTTGCACAGCACTTTTCTACCATTTTCAGGTTCTATACAGCATGGAAGTGCTAAGATGACCATCTAGATTAATATGAAGTATGACCCAGAGAAATTCAGATGGAATCCCACTCACTCAAAAAGCACTTATTAAGCAGCTGCATTAATAGTAGCCTGAAGATTATCCGTCCTATCTCCAATTGGCAGCGGTTTATATCTTTTTCTATACATGTTCGAGGGTATAGAGAAACCATATGACTTTCCTGTATCTTTGGTAACTCTTTCCCTGTGAAACAGACAACTGCACCACTTGAAAGTATCTTTAGCTTTTCATTTCAGCACTCCTCTCTTAAAATCTATTTTTCCATTTCCCTATACCTTTGTATTCCCTCTCTCAAGGAAAATGAAATAATTTTCCTTCTGCTCTTCCAACATAGCTTCACCTTCACCTCAAATTTTAAACCTTCTAGAACGGGATTACTCTAAATGATTTTTTAAAAAGCATTCAAAATCATGTATTATTCAGGCATTAACCGCATTTATTTAGTGCCAACGCTACTGCTTCTCAATCCCTACCCTCTCCCTCACTCTCGCCCCTTAGTCCTCCCCTTCCAATATCCCCAATATCCATTTTGTCTCCACTTTCAGTCTCCCAGGTCACTGTCCCACCTTTTCCTCAGGCTCTCTAAAATCAACGTCTACCTACCGCAGGTTTTCCCGAATAGTCTCCTCCTCCTCCGACTCATCACTACCCGCGTGACCCCCTCGGAATCTGCTCTGGTCCCTCACTCTCCCAAACTTCGGACCCCACCGCTACTCCCATCGCTGCCCCACAGTTTAGTGAACGCTCCTCACACCCTCCCTCCACCCCCAAAACTTCCCCTTAGGACGTCCCCAACTCCCACCTTCCCCGTTCCCAGACTCAACTAGGTCTCCTTTCAAATGAATGCCTCTTCCCTACTTTAGAGTTTTCGGACACTCCCACCCCTCAGAGCCCTCCCTGCCCTCGTCCGGCACCCGCGCCGCCCCCGGACCCACAGCGCCCCTGTGGGTGTGGCCTTCTGACCTGCCTCCGCGCCTCCCGCAGCCCCTCAAGCCGGTGACCCAGCTCCCGCCGGTAGCTCTGCGCTGCCTCCACATTCTCGCGGGCCTCCTGCAGCAGGAGCTCAGGCTCCAGCTCCATCGCCCCCTTCATCTGGCCGCGCGGCCGGCGACACCTAGCGCGGCTTCCCGACTGCGCCGGGAGCCTCCTAGCTGCCCGGCCCGGCCTCGCGCAGGCGGAAGCACCGCCCCTCCCCGCCTCGCCACGCCCCACGACGACCTTGATTGACGGGCGCGCTGCGGCGCCTCGCACGGGTGGCGTCTGGGTCCCAGCGCCGCCCGCCCAGCGGTTCACCCCGCCTCTTCCGTGCTGCGGCACAGCGCGGCTGGCTGGGCCTCCTTGGAAAACGTGCTGAAGCCTGGCAAGATTGATAACCAGCACCTCGCCAAGTGCTTCTCACAGCTCATCGCATTCTTGCCTGACCTTCAGCCCTACCTGTATCTCCATTGCTCAGACGAGGAAATTGGTAGATAAAGGTGGGAATCGGCCCGGCGCAGTGGTTCACGCCTGCAGTCCCAGAACTTTGGGAGGCCAAGACTGGCGGATCCCTTGAGCCCTGGAGTTCGAGACTACCCTGGGCAACACGGCGAAACCCTGTCTTACCAAAAATACTACTGCTATTATTACTACTGCTACTACTAGCAACACGTAGTGGAGTGCGCCTGTGGTCCCAGCTAGCTACTCGGGAGGCTGAGTTGGGAGGATCGCTTGAGCCCAGGGGTCGAGGCTGCAGTGAGCTGTAATGGAGCCACTGCACTCCAGCCTGGGCGACAGAGCGAAACCCTGTCTCTAAATAAAAAATCCTTTTTTTTTTTTTTAATTTAAAATTTTTTTGAAGTAGCGAATCAACTTTTCCAAGCCGCAGGATTTGAGCCCAGATCTGGTGCCAGAGCTCTGAGCTCTGCTCCTTAAGAGCAGAGCACACCTTAGGGCAGGTTACTAAGTCCCAGATGTCAGCAGGGCGCGGTGGGTCACGCCTGTAATCCCAGCACTTTGGGAGGCCGAGACGGCTGGATCATTGAGGTCAGAAGTTCAAGACCAGCCATGGCCAACCTGGTGAAACCTCATCTCTACTAAAAATACAAAAATTAGCCGGGTGTGGTGGTGGGCGCCTGTAATCCCAGCTACTGGAGGGCTGAGGCAGGAGAATTGCTTAAACCGGGAAGCAGAGGTTGCAGTGAGCCAATATTGTGCCACTGCACTCCAACCTGGGCAACAAAGCGAGACTTGGTCTCAAAAAACAACAGCAGGCCGGGCGCAGTGGCTCACACCTGTAATCCCAGCACTTTGGGAGGCCGAGGTGGGCGGAACACGAGGTCAGGAGATCGAGACCATCCTGGCTAGCGTGATGAAACCCCGTCTCTACTAAAAATACAAAAAATTAACCAGACGTGGTGGCGAGCGCCTGGTTAGTCCCAGCTACTCGGGAGGCTGAGGCAGGAGAATGGCGAAAACCCGGGAGGCGGAGCTTGCAGTGAGCTGAGATCTGGCCACTGCACTCCAGCCTAGGCGACAGAGAGAGACTCTGTCTCAAAAAAAAAAAAAACACACACACACACACAACCAAAAAACAACAAAACCCAGGTGTCACCACCCAGAAGCTTGTGGGCTAATGAGGGATCCAAGAGAGAGTCCCACGGGATGACCAGCAGGACAGCAATTCTGGCACAAGTCCAAGAAGGGTGTTGGCAAGTGTTGTCTGTAAGGATGGTAGTGAATAAGCTGGGCTTGGGCTTGCCAGACCAGAAGGTATCTGTCACAATAGTTGTGACTATATGTAATAAAACCTTATGGGCAGGGCATGGTGGCTCACACCTGTAATCTCAAGAAGCTGAGGTAGGAGGATTGCTTGAGCCGAGGAGTTCCAGACCAGCCTGGGCAACATGGCAAAACCCTGTCTCTACAGAAAATACAAAAATTAGCCGGGCATGATGGCAAACCTGTGGTCCCAGCAAATTGGGAGGTTGAGGTGGGAGGATCTCTTGAGCCAGGGATGTGGAGGCTGCAGTGAGCAGTGATCACGCCACTGCACTCCAGCCTGGGCGACAGAGTGAGACCCTGTCTCAAAAAAAATAATAATAATACAACCCGGGCAACATGGCAAAACCTCTTCTCTACAAATACAAAAAATTAGCCGGGCGTGGTGGCATGCTCCTGTAGTCCCAGCTACTTGGGAGGCTGAAGTGGTAGGACTGCTTGAGCCCGGAAGTTTGAGGCTGCAGTGAGCAGAGATCATGCCACTGCACTCCAGGTTGGTGACAGAGTGAGACCCTGTCTCAAACACAAAAACAAAACAACAACAACAAAAATAATAATAAGGAAATGAATAAATAAAATGTGTTGCATAGATAGAATGCTCAGGAAAGAAAGGGAATGAATCAGATCTATATGTATCATGAATGGCTTCTGAAAAAAAGTGAGGCGGGGTGTGGTGGCTCACCCCTGTAATCCCAGCACTCTGGGAGGCTGAGATGGGTGGATATCGAGATCAGGAGTTCAAGACCAGCCTGACCAACATGGTGACCCGTCTCTACTAAAAATACAAAAAAAATTAGCCAGGCATGATGGTGCGAGCCTGTAATCCCAGCTATTCAGGAGGTTGAGGCAGGAGAATCACTTGAACCAGAGAGGTGGAGGTTGCAGTGAGCCAAGATTGAGCCATTGCACTCCAGCCTGGGCAACAGAGCCAGACTCCATCTCAAAAAAACAAAAAACAAAAAACAAAAAAAAACATGTTGAATGAAAAAAGCAAATTGGCTGGGCATAGTGGCTCACCCCTGTAATCTCAGCACTTTGGGAGGCCAAGGAGGGTGGATCACCTGAGGCCAGGAGTTCCAGACCAGCCTGGCCAAGATGGCAAAACCCTGTCTCTACTAAAAATACAATTAGCTGGACGTGGTGGTACACACCTGTATTCCCAGCTACTTGGGAGGCTGAGGCAGAATTGCTTGAACCGGGGAGGTGGAGGTTGCAGTGAGCCAAGATTGTGCCACCGCACTCCAGCCTGGGTGACAGAGCCAGACTCCATCTCAAAAAGAAAAAAAAAAAAAGCCCAGCAAATTGCTGGTGGAGGGCGGTGCCGGGCGCAGTGGCTCACGCCTGTTATCCCAGCACTTTGGGAAGCCGAGTTGAGCGGATCACCTGAGGTCAGGAGTTTGAGACCAGCCTGGCCAACATGGCGAAACCCCGTCTCTACTACAATACAAAAATTAGCCCCACGTGGTGGCACGCGCCTGTAGTCCCAGCTACTCGGGAGACTGAGGCAGGAGAATCGCTTGAACCCGGAGGCAGAGATTGCAGTGATTGGAGAGCGTGCCACTGCACTTCAGCCTGGGCAACAGAGGGAGACTCCGTCTCAAACAAACAACAACAAAAACGATACACGCAAACAAATGTAACAGGCTATATTTAATATAATTGCAACTTTAACGTAAAAAAAAAAAGAAAAAGAGCTATTTTACCAAGGACCCGCCAACATGGGGCGCGTTCGCCTCAAAACTTTGAAGTAAAGAAGTATAGAAAAGTACTACATTCGCCTGGGCAAAGACTTCCATACGCACAAGCGCGTGTGTGAGGAGATCGCCATGATCCTCAGCAAGAAGCCCCGCAACAAGATAGCAGGCTATGTCACGCATCTGATAAAGCAGATTCAGAGGGGGCCGGTGAGAGAGAGGTATCTCCATCAAGCTGCAGGAGGAGGAGAGAGAAAGGAGAGACAATTGTGTTCCCGAGGTCTCAGCTCTGGATCGGGAGATCATTGAAGTAGAATCCTGACACTAAGGAAATGCAGAAGATTTTGGACTTCGGCAGTCTGTCCAACCTGTAGGTCACCCAGCCTACAGTTGGGATGAATTTCAAAACGCCTCGGGGAGCTGTTTGAGTCTTTCTGTAATGCTGTAATATTTTCAATAAAGCTGGGACAATGGAAAAAAAAAAGAAAAAGAAAAAAGAAAAAGTAAAGGCTAACCAAACCCATGAAAACAATGCAAATGGTGCATGAGATTAGAAACCAGAAAATTACTGGCACCCTGCGAGGACTGAACACAGGCCAACCAGATGAAGCAATGACTGCCTTTCTCGGCTGTTCCAGAGGACGAAATCCACAGAAGAAATGCCTCCTTAGTCGAATAGGTACTTCGACTTTTACAGGTATAAAAGTCGAATTTCGGATCCTGAGTGGACGTATATTGAGGTAGAAGGCTCGCCCAAATATTAGCATTTTATTGTGCATGGTAACAATGTAAATTATTTCCTTTTTCTGCATTTTCCTCTTTAAAGAGGGGCTAGCCTAGGGCGTTAAGAGTCTAAATTTTAATTCTGTCAACAACTGACTAGGTGACTTAGTGAAATCACGTCCTCAACGGTGAAGCTGATAGGACAGAAGTTCAAATTTCCAAATTCCCGGGTTGGCTTTCAATTCCACCATGCGATGGTTCCACGCCCCCCGCGAGTTCGCCAAGGGAGTTATTTTGGCCCTCTCGGCTCACCGTCCGCGCAGCCTCCAGAAACAGCCGTAAACTCCGCCCCTTGCGCTCAGGACGGCGCGAAAACCCAATTGACAAGAATTCCCTCCGAAGCTCTGTGGTCGGATCTGCGTTCCGCTTGCTTTCCCCGCCCAGTCCCGGTCCCGGTTCCGAGCGCTCAGCCTGGAGCGCCGGTTTCGAGGGCACCCTGCATACACTGGCCGTGCCTCAGGGATCTCGCTGCCCGCGCTTTCTCATTGCCTCTTTCCGTGTTCGACTCGGCTGATCTGGGCCCAGCCTCCGCTCCGGCTCCCTGTCGGTGGGCGCGGGGGAATCCTAAACGGATTCCCAGAAACTTGCAGAATCCCAGAAACTTGCTCCTACTGGAGCGGGCCCGCCTCCATGGCCTCCAGGCAGACCGGGCTGGACCGCGTAAGGTCCTAGGAGACGGGATTCCGGGAAGCGGGGAGTATGGTGGGGGTCCTGGCCATGGCGGCTGCAGCTGCTCCCCCTCCCGTGAAGGACTACGAGATTGAGGTGAGGTTGAGTCGAGGATCTGTTGAGTTCCTTCCTCTGTCTTTTGGGGGACTGGGAGGTGGGTCTGGGGGGAGGTGATCCTGACTTTCCCTCTGTAAGGGGAAAGGTGGGACATTGTGAGGACCCACAGCTGTGACACATTGTGTGCAGCGGTTGCCAGAGCGTGTCGTTTTTTAGAGTCGTGACAAGTCCTGATA